AGGTACTATGTAAAAATAGACATTTTATCTCCGCCTATAAGAATGTATTCTCAATCTTCTTTTCACCTTTATATTGGGAATATTAGAGTAGGTACTTAATTTTCATTAACGAGTTACATCTTTAAAACGTAATCCTAGTAAAAGTATATTTTGTCCTATTATAAGAAATTTTGATAAGGTACACGAACTTAATTGTACATTTATTCAGAAAAGTGGTACCTACTTTAAGTAGAGCACAATGTTAATAGTAGATTACATACCGAGCTGGGAGGTGGTTCATTACCTACCCGGAGGGCTTAAGGCGCGAGGCGTTGGTTATGAACCACTGACCAGCGAGGTTTGTATACTATTTTACTCACAATCGATCATTTAAGGTAAAGTATATAATTCAACAAGGTGTTACTTTAACTGTCAATAATAGTGACACCGCCAATGTAACCATTAATGTTTACAACAATAGCAAATAGTTTCGTTCTTCTTCGTAATTTGCTATTGTTGTAAACATTAATGGTTACATTGGCGGTGTCACTATTAGTATAAGTTTCATATAAGGATAATATGAATAGCATTTGCAGGTAAGGAAAGTGACAGATGCTAGCCGGGAAAGTGACAGCTAGCCGGGAAAGTTACTTTCCCGGCTAAGGTGAGTAATGAGTCGCTTCGCAACCGCTATGAAGGTTAGGAATTCAGATAATACTAACCGATTGTGAGTAAACAATATTTTGTTTAAAAACTTTAAAAAAATTGCTCTGATGCCGTAAGTAAATTCAGCGGGATTTATTGCGGTGGTTTTCCATACAGCGAAAGCGAATGATATCACAATGCGAGAGCGGCTTCTAATGAGACAATGTACCACGGTCTATCGCTGTAAGCCGCCGAGTTCCCCTGAAACATACTCGTCTATTATAGGGAATGATGTTTAGCGCGGGCGACCGTAAAAGCGCGGTGTATTAAAAGTATACGGTCGGTACCTTATTAGAGAATGTATTAAGTCAATCTCATTAAGATCCGCCGTGTTCCCCAGCTACTCTCATTCTTCACATTTATGCAAAGATCGTGGAAGTTACACTTCTTTCTATGCGATCACCTACGTATTATGAACTGGTAAATCGAACTCTCATACCCAAACGAATTGAGTTGCTCGTTTTATCATTCTCAACATATGCAAGATCGTGGAAGTTAGCAGACTTTCTCTATGCGATCACTAATAAACTTACGATATTATGTACTGGTAAAATCGAACTCTCATATTCAGACGAATTATGAGTTGCTCGTTTTACTATGCTCCAGGTCCAGAGATTGTGGAAGTACGCTTTACGCTTCTTTCTATACGATTAACGTTAAATGGAACTATTTACTCTCATAGTTAATACTCAAGGAGGGAAGTTATGGGTTGCTCGTTTTACCATTTTAAATAAAATTATCCATCTAAACTACATTTATTATTTACAATTTGTTATTTCAAAAAATTAATAAATTTGTTCATATAAGTCATTTCTTCGCCCAGCCGTCGTTCGGTGAGGCGCGCTGCATCGAGCTCCTCTTCCAGCCTCCTCGTTGCCATTTGCGCGTCTTCGTACCGCTGCATGTATTCAGGAGCCTTCTGTTGCAACCATGCAAGCGACGCCTTCGCCAATTCACGGGGTGTTGCAGGTTCAATCCATGAGGGAACGACGGCTGTTGGAAGTTGGATCGGTGGAATTATTTCTCCAGTTTCTGAAGGAGGCTGGGAGATCGTCTCATAGAAGCTTTGTTCGAACACCTCCCTCAGAAGCTTCATGTCCTTTTGTGCATGCCTGTAACAAAGAGAATAGGAATGTTAGAACTTTCTTTTCATTACACTTTCAAAATAACTTACTGAGATTGACCGACGGTACTCGTCTGTTGTTGTGCTCCTTGTAGTCTGAAAGCAAAATAAATTCATAGAAGTCGTTTTTCTTTTAAGAGAATGCAACTTACTGCGGCTCTGCCGGTGGTGGTGGCGGTGGTATTATAATATGTTGTAGCACACGGGCGGTCCCCTCTGGAATACTGAAATAAATATTAAAGTTAGGTTAATTACACTTCTTTAATGCAACTTACTGTAACTGGTAACTTGTCGATTGCGGTGCTGTTTGAGCAGGCTGTAGGCTGGTGGTGGTTTGATAATGTCTGCAAATATAAGTTAAAGGTATTAAAAGTTTCTTCGGTGCGCTTTTAACTTACTGCATGTTATTGATGGTACCTTTTATGTTGTTGTCCACTCTAAAAGGAAAAAAATATTAATTTCATGTTATTTTGACAAAGTTAGGTTAATTACTCTTCTTCAATGCAACTTACTGTAACTGGTAACTTGTCGATTGCGGTGCTGTTTGAGCCGGCTGTAGGCTGGTGGTGGTTTGATAATGTCTGCAAATATAAATTAAAGGTATAAAAAAATACTTCGGTGCGCTTTTAACTTACTGCATGTTATTGACGGTGCCTTTTATGTTGTTGTCCACTCTAAAAGGAAAAAAAATATTAATTTCATGTTATTTTGGTATTGCGAATGTTTTACCTTTGGGGAGCGTACACGTGGTGGATGTTTCCATCCAACTGATCCAGCAACTCATCCAAGGTATTAAACGCGCTGTTTCTTAGATGAGTCGTTGTTGTTGTTATTCTAAAAAATAAAAGTTCATTTTAGTATCTTCATGAAATAATTGCACAAAAATCATATTTACCTCTCAGTTGGACCATCCTCGTCCACTAAATTAATGATAGCTTCTTGCGGAAGAGGTTTTTCGGCAGTTTTTGTATTTTTCGGTACTGTCGTTGTTGAAGAACTACCACTCGCTTTTGGTGCACTCTTTTTCGTAGATAATTTTACACGTTTTGCCGCCGACATGATAGCGATTTGCATCGAACTCTAAACTGATTCATGTAAGACATGTACGGGTATATACCGAGAATATTTTGTTAACGTTAGCATAAACTCTCCCGCGGGAACGTAAACTTTGCTCAGACGGGTTGACAGTCAAAGTCCACATCTGCCGATGAGAAAATTCTAAGTAACAGTAGGGCATGCACCTGAAGTAACCTTTCCATCTTTTTATGAAAGGGAATCCGTTTCTGTTCTCAGGTTTACACTTACGAGAAAATGTTAACGTTATCATAAACTCTCGTGGGAACGTAGACTTTTTCTCAGGCAGGTTGACGGTCAAAGCGCACACCTGCCGATAAGAAAATTCTAAGTAACAGAAAAAGTGGAGCATTCACCTGCAATAACATTTGCAATACACCTTATAAAGAGAATTTGTTCCTGTTCTCAGGTTTACTTACGTATACAGTATCATTCGAGCAGTATCTCAGTTGTGACATCTAGGATCGTGGTCAGCTAATCGCACTAGTGTCGGATAACTTATGAGTGCAACATTTCTAGGATTTACACAGATTAAAATCTTGGATAATTAAAACCCTTTGATCAGCATAGTAAGTATGGAATCTGTTTCGAGTATAAGCAGTGAGATCGTTAACCTAACCCGACATTCGGCAAATCTCTTAAAAAAGAAATCTGAAATTGTTAAACACATTTCAATCGCGAAAACCAACATTCGAATATTGCAAAGAGCTATTGTCAATCAAGTTCATTTCAATAATCCGAATGAAAATTCTTCGAGACTTGAATCTAATTTGGCGCTCTTGAAAAGCTATTTGGCTACGTTACAAGAGCGATTAAAGAATTTTTCCACGAAAAAAAGGGGTTGTGGGATCGATGTCATCAATAAAAGTCGATCACGTAAACTAGCGTGGTACACACTAGACTCCTGCTTCAATGGCCGTTTAATTACTGGTGTTATTGTTAATTTTGGTTATAAGGATCCCCTAATTTTTCTAAATCATGCGTACGATAGTTTTTTACGCCAAATTAAGATAGCGTTAGCAAGATCCATGTTAAAAGTAAACGTCATTTTAACTTGCAATTTTATTCATCCTCAAACTAGCATTATAGACTTGAAAACATTCCAGACCAAAAATGCTCCGATTGACATCGGTACTAATCTTAGGGAATGGTACAATGAAAACGTTTTCGATAAAATTCAAACAAAGTTGGAGAATTTCTCCGAAAAGAACTCTGGGTGGGCCTTATCGGATATAGTAAATCTGAAAATCAATATTAATCAGTACGTACCCATTAAGGGAGGGTTTTCAACATACGTCAAAGTTCCTCCTTTTATAGCCGCTAAGAGAGCAGTTATTAACGTAAAGAATAATGATCAGTTTTGTTTTCTGTGGTCAATAGTCGCAGCATTGCATCCCGTTAATAAAAATGCCGATAGAGTAAGTAGTTATCCTCATTTTGACCAAGTATTAAATCGTGGATCTATCAAATTCCCCATTAAACTAACAGATATTAAAAAATTTGAGAACATGAATGATATCTCCATTAACTTATATTGCATAGTTAAGAGAAATATATTTCCTTTTATGTTAAGTGGTAAAGTTGATAATAGAAAAACTATCAATTTATTGGTGTTGGTTTCTGATCAAAGGAATAAAGTCCTCAATACCAATAACTGTTACTATCATTTTGCATGGATTAAAAATATGTCAGCGTTGTTATCTTCCCAACTATCTCGTAGAGGACATAAGAAATTCTTCTGCAATATTTGTCTGAACCACTTTTCAACGAGTGATTTATTAGAAAAGCATACGCTTAAATGTCATCAAGTCAATAAGTGCTCCATTCGACTGCCTAATGACTCGGAAAGGATTCTAAAATTCACACATTATTCTAACATGGAGAAGGTGGCATTTACTATTTATTCAGACCTTGAGTGCATCTTGGAAAAATGTGATAAAGTCAATCTTCCAAATGCTAACACAACATTTTACCAAAAGCATACTCCCTTTAGTATTGCCTTTTACCTTAAGTGTTCGTATGATGAGTCGCTTTCGAAATTGTTTTCATACAGAGGACCTGATTGTATTCAATGGTTTATTAAACGATTGCGCGAGATTGCCGATTGGGCAAATGAAATTGTGAATACTATTGTTCCCATGGAAGTTCTTAGTCCTCATCAGATGCAAAACTATTTGAACGCTATAGTGTGTCACATTTGCGAGAAACCTTTTACCGAAGATCAAATTAAAGTACGCGATCACCATCATATGACGGGGCGGTACAGAGGGGCGGCTCACCAGGCATGTAATTTGAACTTTAACCACTCCCATGTTATACCAGTCGTTTTCCATAACTTAAGCGGATACGATGCCCATTTTTTTATTCGAGAACTCGCTATCGGCTTTCCTGGCGGAATTAAACTCTTACCTTTAAACAAAGAAAAATATATTTCTTTCACGAAGCATGTGCAGAACACTAACATAGATTTTCGATTTATCGATTCCTTTAGATTTATGAGCAGTAGTATAGATAAGCTATCTTCGTATTTAGATAATGAGCAGAAAACTATTACTAGAGCGCATTGTCGTAATGCAAATGAATTCCATTTGTTAACTCGAAAGGGAGTGTTTCCATATGATTACGTTGATTCGTGGGAGAAATTAAATGAGACAGTGTTACCAACTCGAGATGCATTTTTTAGTCAATTAAAAAATGAAGCTGTGAGCGAAGCGGACTATGAACATGCGAATCACATTTGGAACGCGTTCGAAATTAAAACCTTAGGTCAATATTCTGATCTCTATTTGATGACGGACGTTCTCCTTTTGGCGGATATCTTTGAAAATTTTAGGGAGACTTGTTTGCGTACCTATCGCTTAGATCCGTTACATTATTACACCGCCCCGGGTTTGGCATTTGACGCAATGCTTAAAGTCACCGACGTTAAATTAGAACTTTTAAGTGACATTGATCAAATGATGTTTATTGAAAGTGGTATAAGAGGAGGTGTAGCACAATGTTCAATGAGATACGCGAAGGCCAATAACCCGTACATGAAAGAAAAATATAATCCTAACCTGGAGACGACCTATTTAATGTATTATGATATTAATAACCTTTATGGTGCCTCAATGTGTGAATTCTTGCCTTGCAGCGATTTTTCCTTTGTAGATGACATTCAAAATTTAGATATTCTAAACCATCCTGATGATTCAGACGTTGGTTATATTGTAGACTGTGATTTAGAGTATCCTTTGGAATGCCACAGATTACATTCTGATTTACCTTTGGCCCCAGAGCATCTAGTGCCAAATAACTCAAAATTAAAGAAACTAATGCTTACCTTGTACCCAAAGCACAACTACGTAGTTCATTATAGAAATTTAAAGATGTACGTACAACATGGGTTAAAGTTGATAAAAATAAATAGAGTATTACAGTTTAAGCAATCACCGTGGCTGAAAAAGTATATTGAATTAAACACTCGCATGAGGCAACAAGCGAAAAATATGTTTGAAATAGAATTTTACAAATTAATGATTAATTGCGTCTATGGTAAACTTATGGAGAACGTGCGAAAATACAAAGATGTGAAACTATTAACCAAATGGGAGGGAAGGTATGAAGCCCGTGCGTATATAGCGAAGCCAAACTTTAGCAGTTGTACGATTTTTGATAAGGATATGGTTATAATAGAGATGGATAGGTTAGAGATATTTTTCAATAAACCAATATACGCGGGATTTGCCGTTTTAGATATATCAAAAACGTTTCTCTATGACTTTCATTATAACTACATTCTCAAAAAGTTTAAAGATAAAACAAAACTTCTGTATACAGATACCGATAGCCTAATATACTATTTTACAGTTCCCAATATATACGAGAATATAAAAGATGATATACATCGATTTGATACCTCAAATTATGATATCAATAATGAATATGGGATTCCATTAAGGCCGTCTGACACTATGCTAAATTTTGTATAAAATTTTGCACTAGAAAATTTTGTAAAAAATTTTGTACAAAATTTAGAAAAAAAAATGAAATGTGTCTGACACTATTTAAAAATTATGGTAAAATAAAATTATTCACGCTTGCTCAGTCTCAGTTACAACATGGGGAATTTTGATTTTGGTTGTTACCTCATTGGTTTTCACTAAAAGCAGCTGTTGGTGCGACATAACCTATACGCTTTGTTATTATATGTACTTATTTAGTCGAATCGATTACATTTCATATCACTGACTTTAGCTATGCCTAATACAAACATATCATTAATGCACGCGGCGCTTGCCGCCACGGCAATTATTCTTTTGCGAAAAATGCTGTTACGCTTAAAACAAAAACGCAATCGACGAAGATTGTGGTCGAGAACGTGGTTACAACGGCGAAATGAGGGTAGAGGCGTTTTAAATATGTTAAACCAAGAGCTTCTGCAGGAGGACCCCGTATCTTACCAAAATTACCTTCGCTTAAACAATAAACAGCTGGGATATTTGCTAGCATTAGTGAAAGATGACATAACCAAACAAGATACCCACTTACGAGAGTGTATCCCCGCTAGAAGCAAGTAAGTATCAAAGAAGCCTTACATTTTAGGGCATATAGCATGTACAGTTCTTAACTTCAGATTACAAGTTACTCTAAGATTTTTGGCAACCGGAGAGACGTTTCGATCCCTTATGTACGCAACAAGGATTCACGAAACTACAATTAGTCGTTTCATACCCGAGGTGTGCAACGCAATCGTGTTAAAATTGAAACCAAATTATTTGAAGGTAAGTTGTCGTTTTGTCAGTATGTTTATAAAATTTATTGAAACAATTTAAACTCTTACAGACACCAAACACGCCAGAAGAGTGGAATAAAATTGCGGATGATTTTAATAATTTATGGCAGTTTCCACACTGCATTGGAGCACTCGATGGACGCCATATAACATTCAGAGCCCCAATCTCGGCAGGATCGTACTATTACAACTATAAAGGTTCTAATAGTATTGTGCTGCTGGGTTTGGCAGATGCAAATTATAAATTTATTTACATAAATATTGGTGTTAACGGACGCATTAGCGATGGCGGGGTGTTTAACAACAGTAAGTTGTCAAAGGCACTGCAAGACAACACACTTAATTTGCCACAGCCCAAACTGCTGCCAGGAATGGAACATCCAATGCCCTATGTCATTGTCGCCGATGATGCATTTCCATTAGCAACAAACCTAATGAAGCCCTATCCTGAACGAGGACTTACCAAAGAATGCAGGATATTTAATTATCGTCTATCACGTGCAAGACGCATAATTGAAAATGCATTTGGCATTTTAGTGAATAGATTTAGGGTACTTTTAAATCCAATTAATTTAATTCCAGAAAAAGTAGAATTAATTACATTGACTTGTGTCTTATTACATAATTTTCTTGCCACTGAAAACTCACAATCCTATATAGAGATTGACGAGGACATCAAAGACCTGCAAAAAGTAACACGACAGTGTGGTAATCGAACGTCGAATAATGCGAGAGAAATTCGTGATCGATTTAAAACTTTTTTCAATTCTTTAGAAGGGTCTGTAGATTGGCAGGAAGAGGCAATAAATAATTTTAATATGTATACAATGTATTTTATATTCTTACCCTGGCCTATTATTTACATTCTACTTTTTTTTATACTGCGATACAGGCATTCAACAATTTCCTGTTCCACTTCGAGACGTATGTCTTCGTTCGTAATTTGATTTAAGGTCGATTCTCACTTTCGTGCAAGGCACGTACTCGGCACAGGCAAGGCACCGACTCGGCAAAATATCTATATTATTGAATCTTATGAATTTTTTGGGGTGTAATTCACACTATGCGAGCAACGACTCGGCAAGCTACGGCCTTTGCACGCAGCGTTCTTCCGAAACAATATTTGCCGGGCATGTACCGTGCACGTTCCGACAAGTGTGAATACAATCTGTGCAGGTGGCCGACTTTCGTTCATTTTTCATAGTACAAGAAAGGTTGAAGGGTCAGCAAAGGAACACTTTTTCAGCGGAACAAGATGAGATGCTGATTGAATGTGTCCAAGAAAATGATTTCGGTCATAAAAGATACTTCTTATGCATTTTATGTACACAAAAACGTATTTTTCTTTTTCTGCAATATGTACTTTCTTGTTCTTCATCATCTAATATTAGACCAATTTTAATTAACGTGAAAGTTTCGAACATTTTTACAGTTGAAACTCACGTAGAAACTGCTTACCTGCGGCAAGCGTGTCGCAGTGTGAATTGAACTCAAAAAACTTTGCCCGTGCCGAGTATGTGCCGTGCCGGTTCTTTGCACGAAAGTGAGAATCGGCCTTTAATTTGCAAACAATAAATTTTGCTAACGCTTCGTCTTCTTCATTTTTGCCTTGATTCGTCTTCATTGCCTGATTAATAGATGCAAGTGTATTTGACGCTTCCCGTATGAGATTTTCTTCCACTGGCTCTTGCCGCAGTTTCCTCTTCTTTGGTTTTGGCTGGTAAAATCCATTGGAAGAGGAAGGCGAAGCAACTTGAAATGACATGTCTGGTGACTGTACATTTTCATCACCTGCATCGTGGAGCACGCCGTCTTCTCCTACGACATATTCCTGCACTTCTGATGATTGCGAATCACGCTCTGTGTCTTCCTGCTCTGTCTCTACGTCCTCCGTTAGGGAATCGACTGCCAATCGCACTTTGCAGTGCTCAAGAAGGAAAAACATGACTTTAAAATACCATATTGTTGGTTTATATAACTGTAAATAAAAGTTTTAGTTATTACTACTGTACAGAAGTTTGATGGTATCAGCTTACAGAATCGTCATCATCGTTGTCACCAGCTCCGCTGCGCCTGGATACATTCCATTTCTTGTATTCGTTTAGGAAGTTCGTTTTCAAACCACCAAATTTGGTTTTTATTTCGTTAATCGTTACGGACGGCCTTACTTCCTTCAGCACAGCCTCTATTTTTTCTAAAGCATGCTGTCGTGCATGCCTGTTTTTGTACAACACTGATTTTGTAGCATAGAGACAGGGATGTTTTTGATACTCCTGTATCAAAATTTCACATTGTTCCCGCGACCAGGACATTTTATTAATAAATTTACAAAGTTCAACAGCAAACGAGTGTTTACACCACTACACGTTTAAAGGTAATAATGTTTATGTTTATGGTTCAGGTTATGTACCACACACGTGCATAGGATGCGCCGTAAAACTATGCGCACTTTTTGTACAAATTTTAGGTAGTTTTTAGAACGCGTTCTAAAAAATTTTATACAAACAAATTATGTAACAAATTTTTGTACAAAATACGTATGACACTATGCAATATTTTGTATGAAAATTTATCTGCAAAATTTTCTACAAAATTTAGCATAGTGTCAGACGGCCTTTAGTCAATAAAAAAATCCCCGGTCTAATGAAAGATGAAAATCATGGACACATTATGACCGAATTCGTAGGACTTCGTGCTAAGATGTACGCTTATGAAGTAGAGGGAAAACTGACCAAAAAATCTAAAGGCTCGACATCGACTAGCATCAGAGAAATTACTCTAAATGATTACAAGAACGCTTTGTTTAACGTTCTAATTATAAAACGAAGTCAGCATCTTATTCGTTCAAAAAAACATACAGTATTTACGTTGAAGCAGGAGAAAGTAGTATTGAGTCCTCACGATGACAAACGTGTTATCTGTGCTAATAACATTGATACCCGTCCTTGGGGATTCAAATGTCATTGACAATGTCTCACAGCCCCTTTTTTACATTTCAGAATACATCCGCCACATCATGAACCATGAAAATTTGAAAATTCAGTTGGAGCATGAATTACATTACACTTCTGTTCCAGTTTATAAAAAATTCTTGAAACGAGCTCTTTTGGAAATTCCGTCCGTGCAAAATTATGCTTTAATTAATGAAATTTTACAGAACCTGGTCTTACCGGACGAATGTTTCAGTTGGTGTGCTACTTTTAGAAATATAAGTCCAGACAGTATTAGATTACTTGTAGATAGGAAGCTTGAACTAGATAAGTTAGTTGACTCTGTTATAAGTTCATCAAAAATTAGTGGCAATCAAATAGTAGATAGCTTACCATTAAATATCAAAATCTATATAACCAATTTACTTAATTCAAAGGCTGTTCATAGAAATATTATTTGTGTGATAAACGAAAGTATATGTGAATCTGCACAGTACGCTAATGTCAATGCTCTAGAAATGTTTATCGATATATGTATAGAGAAAAGTATCGAATGCAAATTTAACCCTTATGAAGATACTCGTCATAAACAAATTTACCGATGGATAATGGGAAATATACAAAAAGGAGAAGGTGATTCAAACGCAATTCTTGGCTGGACTTGTGGGCCAGATTCTGCAATCTGGCCATCCACCCAATTAATGGATTATAAGAAGACGTATGAGTTACTTTTAAAAATAATGAGTACAGATGATAGTGATAGGAAAAAAAAACCTGTAAAAAAATATGTTGTATGGTAAATAAAAGACTAAATGTTTTTATTGACTTTTTTATTTTACAACCAATAAGCTCACAACACAATGTTATTCTTATCAATCCAAGATCTTTCGTCTAATCCCCACCATTTGACATACACTTTATCTTTCTTCCGTCGTAGTACCTTTTCTACCAAGTATACGTCGGAATATTTTGCGCTTTGGAGTTCCTGCTCGTAGAATCCTCCAAGTATAGGTTTCCCGTTCATGTCTTCCAACAAATATGTCACAGGGTTGGTTATTTGTACTTTTACAATTTTGAATAGTTCACTAGACCAGTTGGATGTGTAGCCTTTAGCAAATATAGATTTAAACTTGCTAATTCGAACTACATCGCCAACATTAAATCGATATCTTTTGTTGAAAAGCTTGATGTGGTTGTAGACATTCAGCTGCGTGTCGACCTTTACTTCGATCGGCTTCATCCCCGTTGTTCGATGTTTACGATTATTGTATCCATTTGTGATCAATTCGATTGCATCAATCCATACATACTTTCCACGGAGACTAAACTGTCTGTATAAATAATTTTTGATCGTCCTAATTGTTCTTTCGGCTATGGCAGCCTTTTTTGTACTGTACGTGGAGTAGTGATTAATGCGTTCTTCCGTCATCAATTTGGCGAATGATTTGTTATAGAATTCCTTCCCAGCATCGGTCTGTAGATTTTGCGGTCTACGCCTGGTAGTTTTGAAAATATCTTGCATGGCTTTTGTTAACTCCTCGCCCGTTTTGGTCTTCAATCCTCTTGTCCACAAATATTTTGAGAAGCAATCGATAACTACCAGTATGTATTTGTAGCCTTTATTCTGTTTAGCGTAGGGTATGAATTCGGCCAAATCTGCTTGCCAAAGATCATCATCATACCCTTTAATAACGGTACGTCTACGTGGAAAGTTTTTGCGCGCTGCTTTATGTAGCTCATTTACCACCTGCTGCATCCTTTATTACTTTATGCAATGTTTCTTTGACCGCTTTCAGCTCTTCCTCTAGTACCTCCACGTAATTGCGAAGACCGTCTACAGGTGCTTTCGCAATCTGCATATAATATGTGAAGAATCCCTTATTTATGGCATCGCCGTCGTCTATTGGTTCGCCTACATTCATTAACCGGTTTTCGTTGAGATTTAGTCTTGTTGATAGGTAGTGTTGTAAGGTTAGGGCATCATGTCGTTCAATAGGATCCGCAACATTACTTAGTCTCTTATTTTCCACATTTATCGTATCGTCAGTAATGGAAAATTTTGTCTTTAGCAGTTTTCCAAATTGAGCATGGGTATGCGAACGTCCGAATTTATCCATGGTGAATGTAACCAAAAAGACTGAAAAGGGGTATTTATACTAGTTGACGTAAAAATCGCTGCGTGGGCTTTTGTATGTAACCCTCCTCGTACATCTCTTCCACGATTGATATTATGTCATTTTTTACACCAGTGTTGCCGGCCATTTTTTCACCCCATAAAACCTCTAAATCGCGAATCAATTCATGTACGCTATTCCAGTATTTGTATTCGATCGGTCGATCGACTTCCTTGAATAGAGTAATACCGCTTCCGGATTTCGTACGCCCCCTCTTCGCATCTTCCTCCTCCTTTAATAGAGGCTTTATTATGAGCGTATACTTTTTGCTCTTATTGCCACGAATCTGCTCGGTGGGATCGTAATTGCGCGGTGCGACATGAGTTGCTATTATTATCTGCTTATAGTTACTTCTATCCTGATTGGATACTAGCGATTCATCCGGCTCATTCATAATGATAAGTTCGTATAGGCCTGCTGTACCCTTATATCGAACGCCATTAATCATTAAATCGTCACCATTGATCATCACCGGTGTGTTGCCCATGGTCCACTTATCAGTCTCAACATTATAATGAATTCCAAAGGTTGTGTCAATTGCATTACTCGTATCTCTTATCATGCGCTCGACGTATATACGCGGTAGGTGGTTGTATTGTTCCAAAAAAGCTTGCGAACCTTGCATATCGAGTAATGAAGCAGATGATGATGCGATAGAGGACACTTCTTCTTCTTCCTCTGCTTGATGCTCTCCTATCACTGAACTCTGTAGAAATGATGGGGGCTGTCTCAATGATGGTGTAGCCGTGGAGCGAAAAGGTCTAACCATTGGGCTAATATCGGTTGGTGGATATTTTTGGAAGTAGGGAAGTCTAGCCAGAGAACTAATCTCGGTAAGTGAAGAGGGCCTTCGTCTCGCTCGCGAGTAATAAGGTATCGCAGGCGTTGAACGCTGTGGTGGCGACTTTCTTTTTGCGGGTGATAAACGTTTGGAAGGTGATGTAAATACTTCATCCTCTGGCTCCTCCTTTTTCGTTACCACCGATGGCAGTGGTTCGATTTTCTTTACGATTTGGGATAGCGGTTGAATTAGTGGTTTATACGTTCGTACAAATTCCAGTTCTCTAATAGAACGATCCGCTTTGAGACGATTGTACTTTTGTTGTATCGCTTTACGAGCCTGAACTATTCGTCTTTTCAAGGCCATCTCCTTATTATCCATGATGCGATCAAGGGAACAGGTAACAGATAAACAGGGGGAACAGGGGACCTATTTCTTGATAAGCTGTTTATTTTTGGAAGCTGTTGACTTGATAGCCGTTTATTTCCAACTGAACAATAAACACGTTCTCATGGTATTATATAGTGATCGAAACCTTTCCTGAAGCGACCGTTTCGCACATCTGCATCCTTATTGATCACCATAAAGCCATACGGAGTTCGCCAACTTTCCGAGCACATCTCTCGGAACAGAGGCATAGGTATAATGGGAGCGACGTGATCTTCATAAATGTGTCGCAAATTCAAGTCGTCCTGCTCGAATAGGACAATTAAGTTAGCATTATCTCTAATCAATTGTTTAGGAATTTTAGAATACGTTTGACCCAAGTAGAAACAATCGATAGCGTTATGTCTACCCATGGAAAAGTACGCTCTAATGTTATCCTGTTTTTCACAAGCGATATCGTCAAAGATAAAAATTGAATTAGGTTTGGCCGCATTTGGTTCCATAATGTCGGAATTCTCGCTAAATGTGAAGAAGCCAATATCCTTCATCGGCTGCAGAATTTCCCCCAAAAGTTTATATTTCTCTTGATTCAATGATTTGGAATAGACGTACACGTGTTTGAAACGTAGACCATTGGGCTCAGTTAACAGACTGAGCATCGTATTTGTTTTACCACAATTAGACGGTCCGCAGATTAAGCATCTTACGCTATTTGGAAGTAACTCGCCATGTTTTTTGCCCTCTACATTTGTCGTTATAAAGGTATCCAGATTTTGAATGGACAGCTTATGCTTCTGCGTCACAACCTTCATTTTAGACGGTTGAAATAAAACTACGAACATTTTCGTCAATACATTTTATTTATACATTAAAAAAAATACAACTTATAGTTTTTTCACTTCTCCAGTCAAAGGATTGTATTGAACTAGTGCATCGTGCAGGATCAGACAATAAGCAACAGTTCCCGCCTCGAAGGCCTCCATCGACTCCATTTCCAGCTTAACATCTACCGTTGAATGCTTCAGAGATTCGTTTTGTTTTGAACAGTCTAGCACAAAGATTGGACAACTTTTAAAATACAAATAGTCAAACAGAGCGTCTTGCTCATCCTTGGCATAATAATCTCGTCGAAAGTTTACGTAGTTTTGATACGCCGTTATGTACTTATTTGCATTAAAATCTAAATGCATCGCCTCGTACGGATAACTTTCAGAGTTGAGATGCAATTTTAGATTTCGAATTTTGACGTTATCGAAATCGCCCGCT